TTGAGGCTCTCAGGTGCGTTGTTGGATTAGATACAGGGGATTTGCCTTGTCCCTCATGATTTCAGAGTCCTGAAGTATCTGAGATTGTTTACCAAGAGATTTTCTGCATGTAAAAGTGAGCAGACTTCACGAGTCTTCATATGTGGAGGGAAAAAAAGGAGTCTTAGATCCTACTCGATTAGGCAACAGCCTAATGTTTGCAAGAGCCAAGGTACTTAGTATGTCTGTGGATCCTGTCCTTAATCTCCTGGTGTTTCCAAAGTGGGGATGTCGTCTGTCCTGGAGGTGCAGGGCTGTGGTAAGGCAAGACTGTGAAACACTGAGATACTTTGTTATTGAGCCTCATGGACAAGAAGGAGGAAGAGAGAGCTTTCCACACATTATCTTCCACCAGACAGCTATCTTTCCCTTTCTGGCTGGTCTTGCTCTTGTATGACTGCTCTGACCGCTGCATCCACCGCCTCTCTTCTTTGCCCTGCCCGCGTGTTTGAGCCCAGGCTTTCTCGCTGTCTCCGTAGCAGAGTAGGTATGGGGTCCGGAGCAGCTGCTCTGGACCTGGCACTGTCCTCACTGGCAGAGACAGGGCCACCAGAGCCTGGAGAAACAGCAGAAGAGCTAGACAAATGCATTACAGCTGCCGGGGCCTTGCAAGAGAGATGCTGCGGGCATCGGCCCGGCTGTGAGAGCTGGGTACAGTGCAGCAGCCGCGCTGGGTGCCCCTTTCATGTGTGGACCCACTTGTGCTGCTGCAGGGCTGGAGAACTCCCCTGAGCTTTTCCAGGGTGTTCCCAGGGGAATTCCAACATTGTAAAGGGACAGTGCTGCTGCTTCATACTTACTAGTGGTTCTCAGCCTGTGGTCCATGAAAGATGCTTAGGCATGGCAAGTGCCCTGTTAGGCTGTTACAAAGGACATACATCCACTGCACCTTCTTGGTTAACTCTTAAGCCTAACAAATCAAAGTGGGCTCAAGATGTTCTCTCAGGTGTATTGGGAAATCTAAAACAGGATAGCTAGAGTCCTCTCCCTGGCCTGAACATGATAGAGCTGAACAAACTTGTGGACAGCTTAAATGTATAAACCTCTCACTCATTATGCTGGCTTGACTCCGGTTCATTTTTTCTTCCTCTGCTTGCAGATTGGAAGTGCCCTCAAACCCTTGGTACTGTAGTGCCACCTCTTTAATTCGAGCAGCACTGCTTTGTTGAGTAAAAGGCTGCACCGTGGATGGCAGTGCCACCGAAACAACATCCAGCTAAGCAATAGGCAGCAGCCCTGTCCCCAGGGCCCCTTGGGGAGCCGTGTCCTCTCAGGAGGGCAGGATAGCACCCATCGGCTGCTCAGCAGTGGCTTGCCAAAGCTGTAGGCAGTCAGCTTCAGGTGCCTTTGGGAACAGGGTCCGGTTCCCCACTCACAGTGCCAGGCACCTCGCTCGATGGGTGCGCAGCTCTGGCTGCTGCAGCATCATCGCGTGTGTGGTTGAGTCTCCCCTCTCCTGCGCTGCAGAGCTCCTCTTCTTTCCAGACGCTGGGAGGGAAGCGGAGATGCTGGGGGAAGAGCTGTGGAGGTGGGGAGAGATTGAGCTATCATTAGCGTGGCACCAGTGAGGTTTCTTTGCACCATGAAGCAGTAGCTATCAAAATTGAGTGCAGTATGCTGAACAGCTGAGCAAGGGAACAGATACTGAAAGGAGCCTGCAAAGAAAAAGGATTTTGGAGGAAAAAAAAACCTCTTTCAACTGCACATTGGCACTGCCCATCACTGAGAGCTGTGGCGGGGAGTAGGAATTGCCTGTTTATGGTGATCATTCTGCGCAGCCCCTGGGATGCTCAGAAAACGGATTGAGGAGAAAAGAAACGCGGGAGAAGGAGGAGGTGGAGGTTCCCCTTTGAAAACGCACAGGCTAATAGAAAACATCCTCTAAATTGTCAGTGTGTCAGGATACATTAATGTAAGTATAACGTTTTCAAATCCTCAGCATCTTCTATCTGAATGTCATTGAATTAGCGCTAATGCATTCGTTAGCTCATTATTCATTAATATTCAGTATTCATTAGACTGACTCTTTCTCTGGAAGATGGGGATAATGAGTCGTGGGACTGGCTGTGGGGCCATGCTGTAGCTGTGCTTAATGTGGTGGGAGTGTGGTTTTACGTACCAGAATGGCCTTCAGTGATTGTTTTATTGGCACTTGTATCTGGCCGACATTGTCCTGCGTCTTGGCCAGTGGTTTACCACAAATTAGTGGAAATTCTTAATGGGAGAGCAGTGCTAATGATGATGTAGATAAATTTCTACCAACTCCTGCCCTGAAAGCAACTGGCAAGACGACTGATGAAGGCAAATTCTGATCTTTTGGCCTGTGGTCAGAGTTGCAAAATTGCCTCTGTAATCACAGAGCTATTCGTTCCTGTCTTCATTGGTGAGCCATGGAGTCTCCCCTTCGGCCCCCACCACTGTCCTTTGCTTCTTGCCCTCAGGAGAGATTCTCTAGATCTGAAGATGTGTTCTCCCCCCTGCCCTTTTTTTTCCCTTTTCTCTTCCCCCTCCTCTCTCTCATTCTTTATTTCTTTTTTTGTTTTTCCCCCCCCTTTGTTTTTCCCATCCCATCTTCCCTTCCCGTGCCATTTCTGACCATGAAGAGGACAGAGCAGGAGGTGTGTGCAGCAGGCTTTCCCTAGCAAGTAACCGAGAGGGATCCAGAGGTGCCGGCTGGCGTGGCAGCACACTCGGCACCCCAGGTCCTATCAAGACCAGCAGGCTTCGGGTCTCTCATCCCTGTGGAGGGCTTTGCTGACCCAGGGCCAGTAGGATGCTGCTGCTGCTCAGGCTGTCTGACAGACTTTTACCTCAGGTAGCAAGTCTTCATAGAAGGACTTTGCTTTGCTCCCCACCAAAGCATGCAGGGGAGGGAGAGTGGCTGAATAGGTACCCAGCACCTTTATGGGGGTGTGAGGGTCCTCCTGACAGCGTGGCATACCTGGAGCACCGTGCGTCAGCCCTTTGCTCAGGGCTGTCCTCCTGGTGTCCCAGGAGCTGTGTTGGGCCAGGTGAGGGATGTGGGATGGCCTCAGAGGGGTCCTGAGGCTCAGCATGAGAGAGAGGAGTGTTCAGCAGAGGGGTGTTGCTTCAGGTTGGGGCTCGATAGCTTTGGTCAGAAAACACTGGGCAAGAAATACCACAGCAACAGAGCAGCGGAGTTCTGGTGGGAAAGCACTCAAGACCCAAGCTGATGAGTCTGGGTCTGCCAGGAGCAGAAGGGACTGCAGAAACTCTAGTAAAAGAAATTAAAAAGGGGTCAAGCTTTTCTTTTTGACACATCACTCTGGCCTTGGGGTGGACTTTCTGTGCAGATTATCTAGATTTGAGTACACGCAAGTTATTGTGACAGTTTGGGTCAGCAAACTCCAGACAAGCTAAGTCTTCCAAACTTTTCTACTAGCAGCTACCTTTTGAGCTTCTTGCCTTCTGCTTGAGCATAGGCATGAGTATACAGCTTGCACCTTCCTCCTGAGCAGTTGTTTTCCCTTGTCCCACTTCTGAAATATTTCTAGGCCCTGGCTGCTGCATCTGGCTCTGTGCTGCCTTTCCAGAACTTGGGCGTAGTTATTCAGTGGAATAAGAGCAAAAACCCACTACCAAACCAGATTCCTTACAATCCAAAAGAAGCACCTGCAAAGCCCTGAGTAGCTGAACTGGCTCACTGAAAAGCATTTGCCTGTGGTCTGCTGAAAGGGTCTTATTAAACCCTTGGTCATGGGATGCAGTCTTTGCACTGTCCCAGCGAGACCTCTCAGCTTTGCCTTACAGAAAGAGTTACGTTGGGCACTTGCAGACATGACTGTCTGCCCTTGTCTGGACAACCACAGGGAAGGGTTTTCCTATGAAAGGGAAATCCCTCACGAGGCAGCGGGACAACACTTGCATGTACGATGCCAAAATAACTGGCGCCTCGTTTCATTACTCCCCGAAGACTCGTGAACTCTTTAGACATGTGCATAAATTCTCTCCTCCTGGGGCAGCTGTGGGAAGGCTCGGCTGGGGCACGGGACTGCTGGTGCTTGAGCCCAATGCTTGCCTGGGCTGGATTAGTTGTGCCTGGTGCCTGTGGGGATTTGTCTGTGGGTCTCTGGGAGGGTGAAGTGGCAAACGGAAAAACATGTTTATGTTTGGCTGGGCCAAGATGAAATGAAGACAAACTGGAAGAGAAGACTTTCTGAACCGAGGGTTTCCAAGGTTTTATGATTTCAGGATGATAATAGAGTGATTTCATGGGACTCTTGACACCTCTATCTTTATACCACCCTGCCGAGGCAGAAGTTATCTCTTCCATTGTAGTTTCTGTCAGTTATCTTTGTCTTGTTCTTATCCCAGATAGTATTTGCAGCTTCTGCTTGCTGTCATCTGTATTCCCGAAAGTAACGTATCCTTAAGGAAAGTCTTGCCTCTGGCTTCTTGTTGTTTTGGGGCTGGTGTGCTCTGGCACAATGTGGGGGCTGCAGCATTGGGTGAGGGGGGAACAAATAAATAGCTGAGACTTCTGTGGTATTTGGCCTAAAATGGCAGCTGAAGGGTGTGATGTATGGCACAGAGAAAGACAAAAGGCAAAGCATCATTTAATGACTTTAATTCCCCTAGTCTGGGAAGCATTTAATTTGCCTAGTCTGGGAAACAGCAAAGAGGTACCGTTGGGCATTGCCTCATATGGGGATAGCCCAGACTACGGTTTGTAGGTCAAAAGCATTTATAGCTAAATGTCCACGCTAAAGCCATGCTTCTCTGATTTTTTTTTTTTTTTTTTTTTTTTCTTCTCCCCCCACCCCCACAGATCCCGGTGACAGTGGGATCATCCTGAGATGAGCCACCCGTAGCTAGGGCCAGCCCCGCTGCCAGGGCTCCCTGCCCCGGAACAATGAGGAGCCGTCTGCCAGCCTAACAGGAAGATTTTGTGGCAGTGGTTGGTTTTTTTTTCCCCGAACCTCGTGAACTTTCATGTGACGGCGGAGCCGCTTCCCGCACCCCGCCTTGCGCCGCCTCGCAGCTGAGGGCTTGGTGGTGGAGGGCCACCACCATGGCGGCAAAGCAGCCCCCGCCACTGATGAAGAAGCACAGCCAGACCGATCTGGTGAGCAGGCTGAAGACGCGCAAGATCCTGGGGGTCGGCGGGGAGGATGATGACGGCGAGGTCCATCGCTCAAAGGTGAGGGGCAGGGAAGAGGGAAGCCCGCGTGCAGTAACGACAGAAAAGAGACCTTCTGCTTGGGCAAACAAAGGTGGTGTGTTTTTTTTTCTCAGCATCTAACTTCTGCAGCCTCTTTTGCCAAAAAAAAAAAAAAAAAAAGGCTCCCAGCTCCATGGGGCTGCTGTAAAATGAGGGGTGAAGGCTGTGGTGGCACGAGCAATGCTGCCTTTGAGCAGCAATGGGCTACGCGGCCTGCTGGGTGCGTGGGAGCCACCCGAAATGGCTTTTCATGGTAACAGGGTGAGCCGTGCCCTCAAGCAGCTTTAATCCATTCCTGAAATTGTATTGCTGAGACACATTTGAGCTAGCTCAGAGCTGGTGCTGTAGGACCATGGCACCACCAATGCCCACCAGCTGGTGGCCTGGACACTGGAGCAGCAGTTTAAGCAGCGGTGCCTCTCGTAAGAGGCCTGAATTGCAAACAACCAACCTATTTCAGTGAAATACCAGAGCTGGAGGACAAGGGTGAGCCCTGCAGGAGTCAGTCCTGGATGCTCTGTGGAGAACTTGTTGGCAGGGCGTTGCCTGGCTCCTTCCTGCATGTGGGGAGCAGCACAGAGCGCTCTCTGAGCTCTCTGCAACCAAAAGATCCCCCAGTACCTTTCCTTGTTGCTGGTCTGTGTAGTCTTCCCATCCATGTGGTTTGGGGAAGTCATGGCCGGGCATCACCCTGGGCAGTGTGAATGCCAGAGCAGGACGGACGCCCCGAGGGCTCTGCTGGAGCCTGTGCTCCATCAGGGTGTGACACGCAGGCAGTGTGTGGGAGGAGACAGTTCACTACTCACAGAGGTAAGAGGAGACAAGAGTTAATGTTGACCCTGCCCCAGCCCCGCACTGCATGCGGCTGATCCCATTTCCTGATGGAAATCAAGGCAGCCTTTGGCAGGTGTTGGGACCAAGGGGTCACAGATGAATCCCTTGTCCTTCGTCCTCCTTCCAGCCCAGAGAGAAACTCCCACCTGGGGTTAAGTATGCATTTTTGGGCTAGCAAATACTGCCTAAAAGCTGGGGAAGGGTCTGCTCAGTCACCTTATGTCTTTTATTTGAATTTCAGATTAGCCAAGTACTGGGAAATGAAATCAAGTTTGCTGTCCGGGAACCTCTGGGGCTCAGGTAAGATACTGGGCCACCTTGGACCTGGGTCATCTGAGGGCCCTCGGCCACAGCATCACTGACAGCTCTGGCTGCTGACACTGGCTCTGCTACTGTGCCAGCATCACCGCTCCCTTCAGGGGCTTCTCGGGGGCTGTGGGACCAGACCACCTCTGGTTTCTTCCCCCATAAATCAGCCTGAGGCCCTCAAGCTCTTGTCCCACAGCAGGTGCTGGGAACCACAGGGCTGCGTGGGGCTGGAGGAGCTCCTGGTCTCATGTGCGACAGGGTGGTGCGTCCTGTGGGGACCCCCCCCTCTGCGCCGTCCTCTTGGCAGGGTCACTTCCCTCCTCTGCTTGGGTGAGGAGGACTTCGGCTCTGTCTCGCCAGCAAGGCCAGTCTGCATGCTGAGGCTGGAGATACTGGGGCATGGGGAGCCACATCCTCCCGCGGGAGGCTTGTGGCTGCCTCGGTTGTGTAAGGGGAGAGGATGAAGGCTGATGACTGAGAGGGCAGCCAGGAATGCTTTGCAAAGTATGAGCGATGGGATCACCCCCATGCTCACGCCGGGTCCTCTGTTTTCCCTCCCACGCAGGGTCTGGCAACTGGTTTCCGCCATCATGTTTTCTGGGGTCGCCATCATGGTAAGTGAGGGATGTGGTCCTGGGCACCACCAGCTTCTGGCTGCCAAAGGGGTGCCCCAGCATGGCTCCTTGGCCCCCGGCATTTATCCCCCTCCTCTGCCTCCAGCAGCTGCCACCGCTTTCTCTTGCAAGGCCTTTCCCTTACCATGTCTTGGTAATGGGCTTTGCTAGCAGTGTCCTTGGCAGTTTGTTCCCATCACCGGACTCTGTTTTCATTAGCAGGGTCGCAAACCACACATGGCATGGCAGCCTTGGCCATAGAAACCAGCTGTGAAGCCAGTAGCTGACACACTGATACTTCTTGCGCCTCCTTAATTTCCAATTTCCTGGCCATTCAGGCTTGATGTCGGAGCACTGCAGAGCACTGCTGCCCGAGAGGGCACATTTTGATGGCCCTGGCCGGTGCAGGCTGCTGAGTCTCTCCCTTGCCTCTGCCAGGCCCTTGCTTTCCCTGACCAGCTCTATGATGCCGTCTTCGACGAGGAATCGGTGAGCAGCAAGACTCCCATCCGGCTCTATGGAGGAGCCCTCCTCAGTGAGTGCCATGCTGCTGTACCTGGGACATGCTGCTGCCCCATAGAGTAAGGGGACGAGAGGCTAAAATGGCAGGAGGGGTCAAAGTCTGTGCCCAGCAGGACAACTGCAGCCCGAGAGCAGAAGATCTGCTCTTAGCAAAGAAACGGTTTGTTGAGGGGTATTTTGAAAGCTCAGCTACTGCTGCTTTTTCCTAGTAGGGGCTCAGGCTCACTGCAGGCAGGGTGAGAAGGGCTGTGCACGCTCTAAATACCTGGGGGAGTACCCCCAAGTGCCCCAGCAAAGGGGAATTGCAGGTGGGCTGGGTGGTGGGGTGCTGGACCGCAGCTGCAGCCAGACCCTCCTCGTGGGAGCGGGAGGAGAGAAGGGGCAGGCAACGGCATCCCGGGAGGGCCCCATGCGAGGGGCTGAAGAGGTGGGGGGCAAAGGACGAGAAGGTGAGGGGAGCCTAGGGAAACGGCCTGGAGAAGAAAATGAGCAGAGGCATTAAACACACGGGGTTTGTGTAGCTCTGCGCCCCCGCGCTGCGGCTGCCGGTGCTCCCAGGCTGCAGCG